GAAAAATGGATATGCGTAACATCTACGGCAGAAGGTTATCTAGAAGGCCTATAAGGTTCCCTCCAACTCATACATACATTTAAGATTCTATAACAATATTGCTTGAAAAAGCAAAATCTTATTCCAGTGACATATATATAATGTAGTGTGTGTGTGTGTGTGTGTCTGTGTGTGTGTTTTCAATCAACTATATTATTACATAGCTCATTTAACAATCACTGTTCAGTTCTGAAATCATAGGTTCTGTATTAATGAATGGGAAACATAGTTCAGAACCTTAGATATGTTCCTTTGATTTCAGATGTGTTTATTTCTTATTTATTTACCAACTTTCTGTTTGAAATGAACACTTAAAAAGGATTACAACTTAGAATTACAAAAAGCACATGAAACAAATTATAAGAAATGAACTAAAATGCAAATAATGAAAGCATTAACCTTTAAAGACCTGCTGGAAAATTTTCACAGACTTCCTAAAAGTAGAGAAGGTGGGTGCCACACACTGTTCCAGAGAGAATGCATTCCACAGCCTGGGACCAACAGGGGGGACCCCTGTTTTTATGCCCAGTAGATGGTTTCTGATAGTAGGGGCAACTTCAGAAGGGCTTTCTGGAGATCTTAATGTCTGGACAGATTTATAACATGAAACGTGGTGTCATCCCTTCAAGGTAGATCAGAGTAGAAAACCAGTGCTATGTAGGTCAATAGTACTTTTATTGTAAAGCTATAGTAACAAAATCTTGCAAGTCTGAATTGCTTCCCCTTCTCTTCCTTTATCTTCATGTGAACTAGGGAGGGGCTTGTCTGAAATGTTTAATCATGTTACATTCTTGCCCCACATTCAGGCTTCTTTTATCTGACCATTGCCTTGGTAACGGCTCTTCCTCTTGTCCCTCAAGGCCATTCTGCCCTCTACAGGTGGTCCCTCAAATAATCATTTAGGGCTTTAAAGTTTAACATTTTAAATTGCACTTGAAAGCAACTTGCAACCAGTGCTGATGTTTCAGTACAGCTATTATGTAGCCTAGAAACCTTCCAGTCTCATTCCTACATTTTTCACTACTTGTACATTCTGGATACTTTTCAGGAATAGTCCATATGAAATGCACTGCAGCACTCAAGATAGAAACCAACTTGGTCATGGGTAACTGTGTAATGAATGGCATGAGCAGGGAAGATTCTGGAATGGAACTTCAAGGTTGTCAGGAGTGGGGAGAGACATTCCAGGGCAAGCGCCTCCTCAGCCCGCAGCAAGAGTGTGGGAAGACAAAGAGGATGAGGCTGGCCCCTCCCTAGAGTCTCGCGGGTTATAGCCCCTTGTTGGTTTAGCATTGGTTTAGTCTGGTGTGATTTTGTCTATTAGGTGCGAGCTAATAAAGGAACTGGACTGTACTGGGTTGC